GATTTTGATATGTAGAGGAGGGAAGTCAGTGTGACAGATCGCCGAGCCGACACTTTCTCACTATATCCTCAATGAATACTGCTCTCAATTTGTTAGGTTAGAAAATGGCGTCTTGTTGAGATTTTAATTTGTATTTATTTTGTAATTAATTTGCATTTATTTACTACTAGCATGAATAGATTTTGATATGTAGAGGAGGGAAGTCAGTGTGAAATATAACAATTTTACCTAATACTTTTGCTTTGCTTCTTACCCTTGGATCAGTATCTTCCTCTTCCTCATCAGGGTTGTAAGTCTCAGCACAGACTAAAATTGGAAAGAAAAAACAAAGAGATGAATTTAACAGATGGGTGGTTTTAGGGAAAATACTAAGGGAACATAATTTTCTTCTATTCACAGTTTTCTAAAGTTGTAACGATCTTTTTATTTATTTATTTTTATTTCTTTTTTAATTGTTGGTGATTCATTGAGGGTACAAGAAACCAGGTTACACTGATTGCATTTGTTAGGTAAAGTCCCTCTTACAATCATGTCTTGCCCCCAAAAGGTATGGCACACACCAAGACCCCACCCTCCTCCCTCCTACCCTCTCTCTGCTCTTCCTTTGCCTTACCCCTCCCTCCCTCTTTCTCTCTCTGCTCTCCCCTTCCCCCATCGTGTCATTAATTATCATTAATTGTCCTCATATCAAAATTGAGTACATAGAATTCATGCTTCTCCATTCTTGTGAAGCTTTACTAAGAATAATGTGTTCCACTTTCATCCAGGATAATAAAAAGGCTGCAAAGTCTCCATTTTTCTTAGTGGCTGAATAGTATTCCATGGTGCACATATACCACAACTTGTTAATCCATTCCTGGGTTGGTGGGCATTTAGGCTATTTCCACATTTTGGCGACTGTAAATTAAGCTACAATAAACAGTCTAGTGCAAGTGTCCTTATGATAGAAGGATTTTTTCCTTCTGGGTAGATGCCCAGTAATGGGATTGTAGGATCAAAAGAAAGGTCTAGCTTGAGTTCTTTGAGGGTTCTCCATATTTCCTTCCGAAAAGGCTGTTTTAGTTTGCAGTCCCACCAGCAGTGTAAAAGTGTTCTCTTTTCTCCACATCCACACCAACATCTGCAGTTTTGAGATTTTGTGATATGGGCCATTTTTGCTGGGGTTAGATGGTATCTCAGGATGGTTTTGATCTGCATTTCTCTAATAATTAGGGATGATTAGCCTTTTTTAATGTTTGTTAGCCATTTGCCTGTAGTTCCTCATGGTGTGGTGACCCCAGCCACAAAATTATTTTCATATGAATTACATTCATAACTGTAATTTTGCCACTGTTATGAATTGTAAATAATATGCAGGATGTATTTAGGCGACCCCTGTGCAAGAGTCATTTAACCCCCAAAGGGGTTGCAACCCACAGGTTGAGAACTGCTGGCTTACACCCAAGAGTTTGAGGTTGCTGTGAGCTGTAACACCACAGCAATTTACCGAGAGTAACATAGTGAGACTCTGTCTCCAAAAAAAAAAAAACAAAAAAAACCCCAAGAATAGTGCCTTCTGGTATGTCCTGTACACAAGACTCATTCTTTGCTGCCTTAGCCTACACTATTCGTGTGGACCATGCCTCCTGTGCTGTAATACCATCAACACTCTACCTTTCCAATAGGGATCTAGTTATCTTAAAATAGAGGAAAATTAAAGGAAATGAAGAGAGTCATGATTTTATTCTCTCAAACAGCATTAGGTAATCCTCTGTAGGTAGGGCTACATAGTCTCTGGCTAGAGTGGGCCTTGGGTCGCTGAGGCAGAGAAATAACAATGGGATATAGGTAATGACTCATTAACTTTCTCCAAGCATTCTTTTTTGCGGGAGATTAACACAAAGTGCATTCATCTCAGTTCTGCCCTAAAGATTAAGGCAGACATCTACCTTGGTTTCTTAGCCATTTTTGTTGCCACTTTTTGCATTTTCATAGTATTTTGGTAGGTGACTGGGAAAGTTGCATCAAAGGCATCTAACCAGATACTATGTTAAACCGCAAGTTTCTCAGTCCAGTGTGCTCTTGATTAAGGTCATTATCAGACCAGTTTTCTAAACCAAAAATTTGGAATTCATCATGACTTCCTTCTTTTACCTCTCAACCAATGAATACATCAAATTCTGTTTCAGAAATTTTTCATATGTGACTTTTATTCAGTCTATTCCAGTATTTTGCTACTCCTTGCTCTAGGACATCAAAACAACTACTTAAAATAACAAAAATTTTTTTCGAAACCTTCACTTCAGGAGTTAGATGGCACATGGATATTATACTTAAGTCTATTTTTGTGTATAAAAATCTTTCATTTAAAAGGTTAAAAATTATTGAGTATTATGAACCTGATCAATATAAAAAAAGGTTTAAAAAAGTTCAATGATGAGATTGATATGATTTTGCTGATAACAACACTTAATCCTTGGGCTAGCCTATTTCTGGTGATTTTTTCCCTCCAATTTTAGAGAAAAGTACTTTAGCAATTTAGGTCATTTTTTGTATCTTTAGACATTAATATAGACATAATATAAAGATGCACTTTTTGTATCTTTAGACATTCTGAAGTAGAGTGTTAATTATAGTCTTCAAATCTATTTTTTTTTTTTTGAGACAGAGTCCCACCCTATACTCTAAACAGAGTGCAATTGTATCACAGCTCACTGCAACCTCAGACTCTGGCAGCTGCTGGGATTACAGGGGCATGCCACAGTACCTGGCTGGGTTTTTCATTTTTTTAAGACCTGGGGCCTCACTCTTGCTCAAGCAAGTCTCAAACTCCTGAGCTCAAGCAATTCTCCCTCCTTAGCCTTCTACAGTGTTGGGATTATAGGCATGAGCCACTGTACCTGGCAATAGTCTTCAAATCTTAACATATAGAACTATGATTTGAATGAAAGCAGTTTACAAAATAAGTAAATGGGGGGGGGGGAGCAGAGCTAGATGGCAGACCAGAGGATTGTTCAACTCAGCTCTCAAAGAATGACAGGAGAAAAAGAGAACCCAGCCATACCTGGCACAGGGACCTTACCCAGAGTCATAGCTCAGGGAGCACAGAGAAGATGTAGTAAGTTGGATATAGCCTATGATTCAGAGCACTGGAAATCTGATGCATTAGGCAACTGATTATGACCAGCTGGGATTGGCTGGCTGCGCACAGAGGTCCAGGATAGGAGGAAGCCTATCTGGAGTTTTCAGTTGTTGGGAGAAGCTACACATTGAATGGAAAGTTTAGAAGAGTGGGCAGACCTGACCAGTATATAGCAACGAGATTTCAATGTTGGCTGGAGTGGATTTGCCATAGGTTTGGTGGCTTGCAAGGCTGCCATACACAGAAGGCCTTGGAGGCCACAGGGCTGCCATTGTGGGAAGGTAGTGAGAAGGTCTTAGCAGGGGCCTAAAGCACAGCTGTCTTAATTCTGCCTGCTGGAATCAGAACTCCACTCTTGGGACAGGCTGAGGGACTTCTGTACCCCATGGAAAGAAACTAGAGTTAGGGGGCACTGTGAGACTTGCCCCTGAAAGATCCTTATGAGCTTTAAGAAACCAACCCGGGGCTCGGCACCTGTGGCTCAAGTGGCTAAGGTGCCAGCCACATACACCTAAGGTGGCAGGTTCGAATCCGGCCCGGACCCGCCAAACAACAATGATGGCTGCAACCAAAAAATAGCCAGGCGTTGTAGCAGGCGCCTGTGGTCCCAGCTACTTGGAAGGCTGAGGCAGGAGACTCGCTTGAGCCCAGGAGTTGGAGGTTGCTGTGAGTTGTGATGCCATAGCACTCTACCCAGAGGGACAGCTTGAGGCTCTGTCTTAAAAAATAAAAATAAATAAAAAATAAAAAAAAAAGAAACCAACCCGGCAGAGTCTGAATGCTAAGGAAACAATCAGGTGATCACTGAAGGCAACTAAATTAAGTTTGGAATACATACCATAAAGATTGCCAGCTATACTGTCTCAAAAAAAGACCCCCCAAAAAACAACACAGCACCAACTACCTGGTGTCTTGTGACATACTGCAACATACTGTGATCAAGAGCAAGGACTTCTATTTGAAACAAAGGAGGCAGTAAGAAGTAAAAAGGAAAGAAGGACAAAGTGATGAACAAGAAGAAAGAACACATGAGGAGGAACCAACAGAAAAATTCAGGCAACATGAAAAAACAGAACAGAGGAACTCCCCCCAGGGGAACCTGAGGCAACTACTACAGAAGACTCCACTTACTAAGAATTAATTGACTTGACAGAAAAGGCATTTAAAACATGGATGATAAAAACTATACAAGGAATGAATGAGAAAATGGAAAGAAAGAACCAAAAGTCAGACAAGAAACAGGTAGAATATAGAAAGGATATGGCAGAGCTTAAGGAAATGAGGGAGACAATCAAGGACTGTAAAGATGCAATGGAAAGTATCAAAAATAGGTTAGACAATGGAGAAGAAAGAACCTCAGAGCTAGAGGAGAAAAGTTTTCAAGTTAACCTAGGTAGTTAAAGAGGCAGAAGAGAAAGAAAGCAGAATAGGCATTTAGAAAACTACGAGGCTCCAGGAAATCTTCAAACATACCAATAATAAGGATTTCTGAAGACAAAGAAGATTGTCCCAAAGGAATAGAAGCCCTACTGGAGACTATGATAAATGAAAACTTCCCAAGTTTCACTAAGACCCTGACATACTTTCAGATGGATATTAAACCCCAGGTCATCTCAACACAAACACAGCCTCCCCAAGACACATTGTAATCAACCTGTCCAAAGTCAAGATTAAAGGAAAAAAAATTGCAAGCAGCCAGGAGTAATAGCCAACTGACCTACAGAGGCAGAGCCATTAGGATGACAGCATACTTTTCAATTGAAACCTTCCAAGCCACAAGACCACGGTCATCTACCTTCAACATTCTTAAACAAAACAATTTTCAGCCCAGAATTCTGTATCTTGCTAAACAAAGTTTCAAAATTGATGGTGAAATCAAATATTTTATGGATATATAAGCACTGAGGAAGTTTGCCACAACAAGAACAGCTCTACAGAAAATGTTTAGACCTGTTTTCAACACTGACCACACAATAAACCACCAACAAAGTAAACACCCAGAAGCTAAAGGTCAAAACAGCTCCCGTAATGGCGCAAAGGATAATCCTATACAACAGACTTTCAGAAAATAAGATGAATAGAACTCCACCATACTTATCAATTCTCTCAATAAATGTCAATGCACTGAATTCACCATTGAAGAGGCATAGGTTGGCTGATTGGATAAAAAAGGACAAGCCATCGA